TAAAGACTGACAGCCTTGGACACCCTTTGGGGCAGTTCCACTCTGTCCTTTAGGGGCGCTGTGGGTCAGAATCAACTCCACAGCAGTGGACTTGGTTTGGGCTTTGCTTCCATTGAGATGACAGCCTGGGAAACCCTGTGGCACAGTTCCACTCTGTCCTCTAGGGGCGCTGTGATGATGGCAGTGGGTTTGGCTCTGGTCCCCTTTAAAGGACCTTCAGGGCAGGTAGCCATCTGAAGAGGAGGCGATTACTGGGAGCCCCCAGGTACAGCAGCCAGGCCCTGTCCTTGCTCAGCCCGTTTCTGTTTGAACATGATCAATGAGTTGGCTTTGTGCAGCCATGAGAAGGCTCCTTAGTCCTTAATTAAGATTGATTTTAGTTTTACTTCCAGAAAGAAGAGGAACTCTAATGCCCTTAAAACGATCACTTAGGCAAGATAATGAGAAACCTTCCAGGAGGTGCCGAGGTGATTGGACTGGGAGGGTCAGAGCTGGCCATCCCCCAGAAGTGGAGGGGTGTAGATTGAACTCCCATGGGGCTGAGGGGTTTCTCTCCGACCCGTTGCCCTACTGAGGAGCTGAGCTGTCAGCCCACCGCAATTGATGACACTTGAGGGGGACTCAGGGTCGAGTCCAGCACCCAGGGTGCTGGCCTGTCCAGAAGGGAGATAAACGTTGCCCCAAGTTATTTCCTTGGCAGGGATAGACCCCTCTCGGGTTTTATGAGCAGGTCAGCGGCCTCCCTGCATCGTCCGCTAACAAAACCCTCATGCCTCCCGGCGATCGTCTGCCCCAGTGGCCAACCTGGTAGGTTCCTCACATTTCCTGAGAGAAAGAGGAAAGGTGATTTTCCATTCTTGCAAGACTTCTCAGCAAGTGTCTGATGCCACCTCCCCATCTCCCTTAGATCTGGGCCATAGAGATGGAAAGAGGTTTTAGGGCCAGCCAGAGAAAGCGATTAGGAAAGTGAAAAATGCTGCCAAGAGTAGAGAGCACTGAATCAGAGCCAAGAACCCATTTCAGTTCCCCATGCCTCCAGCACCTCCGTTAGCGTGTCTAATTGGGAGTGGACCGCGTGCACGCCTGGGTCCTATCCAGGAGAGGTGAAAGTGCCTGCTGTCCTTCCCGGCAGTGCTGGGAGGGCCCCTCGTCAGTCTGCCTCCCGTTCCACCATGCAGCACCATGCAGCGTCTGTCCTCTCACCTCTCCCACCTCTGCCCCCCAAGTAGCTTCTCCTTGGGGAAGAGTACTGAGTGGCCAGCACTGGCTCTCCCTGGAGGCTCCCTCTCCCCCTGGAGCAGCTCCCCCTCTCCCTCCCCTCAGCTTCCTCCCTGCCCCTGTCCCGAGCTGCCCTGGCAGTAAAGTCTAGATACAGGCAGGACAGTGAAGCAAGCCTGCCCAGGTACAGGTGTGCACACAAATGCTTTCATCAGGTAAGACCCATCTGGAAAGTTCTCCAGGGAACAGCTCTCAGAAGAGAGAAGTCTTCGGGCGTGTTGGTGTGGACTTAACATGGCTTTTCCTTGTTCTTTGAACCCCCTCCAACCTCCTGCCTGCCTTTGGCCATGAACACCTGTGCCCTTCAGCTTCGTGACCACAACTTTTGTGATGGAAGCCATGGCCGCAGCCAACGCCCAGCTCCGCTGGAAGAGGATGGAAAGCCACAAGGTATGTGCAGGGTCCTAGCTCCTGCGGTGGTGTTTCCCCCCAGCATGGCCAGCAGAGGGAGCTCGGAGCACGTAGGCAGTTCTCAGCAGTCAGGTCCTCGCCTTCTGTTGCATGGGGACTTGTTCACAGTTCACCTCCACGCCCCTGGTCCCAGAGCTGAGTGTCACACCCACATCCCGTTTGCGGAGCAGACACAGCCTTTGCTGTTTAACGCAGCAGCATAGGTCCCTCGTGCCCTCACCTCCTTAGGCCGGCTCAGTCATTCTGAACCTTCATAGCCAGGAGCTGAGCTGCGACTTATTCCTGAGCACGTCTGCCACCTTCTAGCGTGGCAGTAGGGAAGGTTGAAGGAGCCCTGGTGGCACAGTGGATAAGCACTTGGCTCCTAACCAAACCCACCCACCGACTCTGCGGGAGAAAGGGCTGGTGATCTCCCATAATGACTACAGCCGAGAATCCTCCAGGGAGCGGTTCCACTCCCATGGGGTCACCATGAGTCGAAAATTGATTGACTTGACGGAACCCAAGAATGACAGCACGGGAGGTTGAGAGCGTCCCAATCAAGTACATTCTAGAAGGAAATAATGAAGGAACAGTTTCTCGATTGTCTATGGGTTTCCCATAGTCTCACATGCTCCTTTCTTCTGAGGGTCCCTTCTTCTCTGTCCCACCCTCCCAGGAGGAGGAAGAGGACGACTCCTCCACAGCCTCTGACAGTGACGTTCTCATCCAGGACAATTACGAGCGGGCAGAAAGGCGGCCCATCCTGTCTGTGCGTAAGTCTCCAGGGCCCCAGTGGGCCCGCACCTCCTTCTGGTACTTCCTGTCCGGTGGTCGATGCCTAGGAAGGCACTGTCCACAGTAGAATAAAAACAGGGCCCAGGCCTGTCCCCTGCTGACCGCACAGCTTTCTAATGTTTGCCACTCGGGCAGATGACTTACCTTCTGGCCTCAGTTTTCCACCTTTAAGTTGAGAACGGTAAATCCCATCTCATGCTGTTAGAGAGGTGCTTGAACGCCCGGTGCATGCTGGGAGTTGAGTAAAGGTCCAGTCTCTGACTTCTCTTCCTCCATCCAGCCCCCTCCCGTGCACACACCCCCTGGCCTTACTGTCTCCTTCCTGGTCCAGCATAGCCAGCAATGGTTAGGAGTCTCTGCTTCCCTTCTACCCCAAAAAGAGCCCCCCTGTGTTCCCCTGAATTAGGCTGTGTCTTAAAGTGTCTCAAGGAGCTCTGGTGGCGTAGTGCCTAAGGCACTTGACTGTTAACCAGAAAGCTGACAGTTCAAACCCACCAGCCACCCACGGAAGGAAGACTGGGCAATCTATTTTCATAAAGATGTACTGCCTTGGAAACCCAAAGAGGGTCGCTGTGAGTTGGAATCAACTCAGTGGCAGTGAGTTTGGATTTTTTTTTTTTTTTTTTTTTTTGGTTTTAAAGTGTCTCAGCAGGAAACGTTAGGTAAAGGTCTCTCAAGCATTTGAAACACTTGGGGATTTCATTATTTGGAAAAATTCCATGAGCTCACCACCAGCCTCTGAGCTGTCCTCTGCCTTGTCCTTTGGCCCCACAGAGAGACGTGGATCTTCGAACCTTTTTGAAATCACAGACCGGGTGGAGATGGGGCAGATGGCCTCCATGTTCTTCAATAAAGGTATCAGGCTGCTCCCGGGGGCGGGGTGGGGCGGGTGCAGAGGGGGAGGGAGACCAGGCGCTTCCTGCACATACCACCTGGGCACCCTCGGGTGCAGGGTGTGGGGACCAGGCGCTTCCTGCACATACCACCTGGGCGCGGCCCCTTGGCCACTCACGGGGGGCGGGGTGGGGGCACACAAGAAGGAGGAGATTGTCTGCGACTCCCAGACACCAGAGAAGCCATCCTCCCGAGAGGCCTGGCTGTCCCTGGTCCCTGGTTTTCTTAGGAGCCTCCCTGGTCCTGGTACTGGAAATGAAACAGAGGCTTTCTCCTTCCTGCACCGGGATGGAGACTCCAGACAGCTCTGCCACAGAGGGAGCCACACAGGCTGGCCGATAGCCCTGCTGGCTGCCTTCTGAGTCCTTGCCCTCCTGGTTCTCCCGGCCGATTGTCTGGAAGGAGACAGGCTCTGCTGCACGCACCCCTGGCCTGATTCTTCCCAGCGTGGCCAGCAGAGGGCGCTCAGAGCCCATAGGCAGGGATGCTGTAGGGCACCCTAGAGGTGGAGTTGTGGGTATTCTGCACCCCACGCTGCCTGCTCTTGGCTGGGCTTCGGCTGCACCCTGTTGAGATCCAAGAGCAGGTCCTAGGGCACTGGCTGCCCTGAAGCGGCCCTCCTCTCTGGCAAACCTTGTTCTTTCAGAAGATGAGCTGCTGGGCAGTTTGTTTTTTGAATATCCAAACCTGTCCGTTTTTCCTTGGAGATGTCAGACGTGTCCTCAGTGAATCCTTCCCCGGGCACTTACCTTGGTAGATTTTCTGCCCTTGTGTCAAAGCCCTGCTTTGCAGCAACCTGGCTGGACCCCTGGTCAGCATCTGCCTTTCCACCCCAGAAATACTGAATTCGGACAAACTCCCCAGGTGATCCCTGCATCTGCAGACGTATAGACGCTTGGGATCTATAGCAATCACCTGCGCATCTGTGACTAGGTAGATTCTGATTGGTTACATCTGGGCTGGAAATGCAGATTCTCAGGGGAGGGCATGGAACGGGAATGAACCGGTTTGAAGCCCAGCTTTGCAGAGGGGCGTCTCCATCGGAGCGTGGCTGTACAACTTGGAGCCACACTGTAGGGAATATCATAGAACTAGAATCTTCGTGGCTGCTTTGTAGGCTGTTAGGCGTTCCATTTTTTCATTGGTGTGGAGACTCGGC